CACTTTCCTGAAATGTTTTTAAAATGTCCCAAGTATTTGGCTGGTAGCTTCTGATATTGTACTACAGGGGAATGGCAAAGATACAGTTTTGAATATTGAAGCCAGATATTAGGTACTTCTCTGTTAGACATATCACTAAATTACTTTTTAAAAGATACTGTGCTTAGAATACTGTGACATGCCTCCACACCACTATCCAGAGGCAATAAATACAAGTTCTTGCTTTGGATACATGTGACTTGTGGGGGTGGCGGGGAGGGGGGGGAGGGGGGGGAGACAGAGGAGGGATAGAGAGAGAAAGAGAGGAAGAGAAATTCTTAAATTATCATTTTGGCAGTGGGCCTTGACTTTGAGGTGACCAGACTTTATTATAACTATAGTGCATAATTGTTCTTGGTTGCTCCAAAGTGTGGGGTGAAATCGACAGGTAAGCTTCTCTGAAGGAAAGTGATCTTGAGCAAATTTCAGTCAGTGTTGATCTCATTCCCTGCAAGGAGAGAAAGACTAATTAATAACATGGTCTTTTAAATAGAAACTCTGACAACTGTCCAATTTCATTATTCTAACAACCTCTTTCTCCACCTCCAAAGAACAATGAACAACTCTTATTAATTTTCATAAATACTGTACTATGCAATCAGGAAATAATTAATTTGGAGCTCTTCATCAGTAATGGGGATAAAGTTCCTTAATGAACAGCCTCCCTTGAACTCAATGATGAGACCACTATTCCTGAAATATTTATTGGTATAAAACTACATCAGGGACAGAAAAAAGAAGCAATTTTTTAAAAACCAGGTCAAATCTTGAATAAGGTACGCCTGGTTGCTTGTCCTTTTTGGCACTGAAGGAATAAAATTCTAAAGAGTACTAGAACTTTAAAAAATACACCTAAATATTATTTTTGTTAAAAATCGTAGTTGCATTTTTATGCATCTTCTCTGTTATAGCATATTAAATTACACAAAGTTATACACGTATAAAAAAAGACTTCCCTCAAGAAAACCAGCATCTAAGTCCTATTTTCTCAACAGCAGCTCTATCAACATTTTGGGCTGTATAATTTTTGTTGTGAAGGCTGTCCTATGCTTTGTGGAATGTTTAATGGCATCCCTGGCTCTCTACTCAACCTAAAAGCACCATCTCTTGCCCCAGTTATAACAGCCAAAAAAGTTTCAGACATTCAGGACGTACAGACAAATGTCTCCTGGAAATAAAATCACCTCTCGTTGAGAACTAATTGGATCTAAAACTCAAAAACCTTTAAGTACATAGTTTTCATAAGTATACAATGATAGATTGAATAATAGCTAAGCATCAAGAGAGGTATCTAAATAGCTAGACAACTGGATGATCTAGTGGTTATGAGTCAGTTGGTTTAGGTTTATATCCTGGCTCTACCTTTTACTAACATGGGCAAGCTACCTGTCTCTTCTAAGTCTCAGTCTCTCCTCTACAAAATAGGGATAATAATAGAATTTACACATAGGGTTGTCTTGAAGATTGGACAAAATAAAGCACAGAAAGATCTGGAATGATGTGGATCAACTACCATTACCACAGGTGGCCTTCAAACTTTTGTTGGATAGACTAGACCTATAAACATGTACCTACCATTCATATAGATAGACATTAACAAGTGCAAAATTTTTAACGTTTTATTATTGAGAGACAGAGAGAGACAGAGCATGATCATGGGAGGGGCAGAGAGAGGGGGAGACACAGAATCTGAAGCAGTCTCCAGGCCCTGAGCTGCCAGCACAGAGCCCAACGCAGGGTTTAACTCACAAACCTCGAGATCATGACCTGAGCCAAAGTCAGATGTCCAACCTACTGAGCTAGCCAGGTGCCCCAATTTGACTGAGTATTTTAGTGCTAATGGAAATGTAGGCTTTGATTATGCACTGGTAGAATGCTGTTTACATTTTAAATAATATGTTTTATAACAAATACAACATGCTTAATCTCATGAATTTTTCCTTTAGAGGAAAAGGACATACACTGACCCAGGAACAATTCATCCAGAATGATCAAAATGGAGACATATCCTAGAAAAGTCATTGAATTTCCAAAATAAGTACAAAATTTTGGAAACAGACAGGCAAAAATATCAAGCAATAGATATGACGGGAGAAAAAAAATAAGACTGATCTAGATTTATCCATAGAATCCAATGCCAAAACACAGCAAATCAATACCTATAACATTACCAAGAAAGAATTGTGAGCTGTGGAATTTATATGCAGTCAATCCATCTTTCATATTCTATAAAAGCATCAGTCAGACCACTTAAAATATGTAAAAATTCAGGTAATATTGCCATGATTCTTCCTTAAGAAAACCATTAGATGACAAGTTTCATCCAACCAAAATACAGCTTGGGAAAGTAAGCAAGAGAATGATGATGAACAATTAATATATTTCATTATAAATCAAAGAAAGAATATTTTAACATGATACAACTATTTAAAATTGTGACAGGATTGTGAAAACAGGCGGTAAGTTTTTTGATGGCCTCATCTTTAATACCTGGAAATCAAAGGATCTCAAAGGTAACAGAGTCAAATAATACAAACTTAAACATACTTAGCTACTCAAAGGGAGACACTAAAAAAGCTAGCAGTATTGATTGAAATAAGCTAATAAAGTAAAAGAAGAGAAGGGGAAGGAAGAGGGAACACACAAATTTCAGTATTGTATATAGTAGGAAACTAAAGTACAGTCTAAAAACATGGAGGAACTAAAGACACTATATAAAACTATAATTAAAAGGTAACTAGAACAAATATGCAAACTTCTTAATATCAAAAAAAAAAAAACTACACAGAGGCAAATTGAATGAAAACAGGCTACAAAGTAAAAGTCTCTTCAAAGTAGAAAAGATAGCATGAACTAAATTGACAGAACCCAGACCAAATATACAGGTCATATCGATAAAACTAAATGGCCTGCACTAATTGATGAAAGACAAAACCTGAGTCACAAATCAAAACCCAATTCTATATAGATGAAAACTTAAAGTGATTCAGAAAGTAAAAACAAAGAGATAGCATTAAAAAATTTTTTTCATGTTTTTATTTCATTTTTGAGAGAGAAAGAAACAGAGCATGAGCAGGGGAGGGACAGAGAGAGAGGGAGACACAGAATCCAAAGCAGGCTCCAGGCTCTAAGCTGTCAGCACAGAGCCTGACGTGGGGCTTGAACTCACATATGGATATCATGACCTGAGCCAAAGTGGGATGCTTAACCGACTGAGCCACGCAGGCGCCCCAAGATAGACAGCATTTAACAAGCAAAAGCAAATAAAAAGAGAGCAGGGCTTAGAATTTTAACTGTCAGAATGGAATCCAGAGCAAAAAGCATTAAACAAGACAAATAAATCTACTTGTAATGACACTATGTAAAATCTACAATGGAAATACAACTGCTACAAATATTTCTGCACCAAATAACAGCAGCATCAGAAATAGAGAAGAAATTATAGGAGATTCAAAGAAAAATACCAAGAAACACATTAGTAGTGAGAGATTTGAAGTCCTCTCTTTTTGTTGACAAGTTGTGTAGAGGAAAAATAAGTAGAGTTATAGAAGAATAAAATAAAGATTAACAACAGAGATCTAACTGATAAATATAAAGTTCTGCACCCTGGAAAACTGACACTATATCTTCATTTTACATAAACATAAACATTCACAAAAATTTAACAACATATTAGACCCCAAAGATAACATTGCAAGTTGGGAAATGTAGAAATCACAATTCCATCTAGAAATAGTAAAACTCTCCCTTAAACCATTCTTGAGTAAAATAGTAACTAAAGGGGATCCTGGGTGGCTCAGTCAGTTGATTATCCAGCTCTTGATTTTGACTCAGGTCATGATCCCAGGGCCGTGGGATCAAGCCCCACATCGGGCTCTGTGTGGAGACTGCTTAAGATTCTCTCTCTCCCCCTCTGCCTCCCTCCTGTCCGTGCTCTCTCTCTCTCTCTTAAAAAAAAAAAAAGAAAGAAAGAAAAAGTAACTAAAAAGCGCAATTACAAATTTCTGGAAAACAATGTTTTAGGATGCTGCAACGTATCAGAATGAGCGGTGCTGAGAGAAAAACTGATAGCCTTAAATGCCTATTTGAATAATAAAGAATAAAGGCAAAAGGCACAAGCGTCCAACATTAAAAGTTATATAGAGATCAGCAAAATTGACAGAAGAAAAACATATAAAAGGAATTAATGAAGACTATATAATAGTAATTAATAAGTTAGAAACATACAGTAGAACTTATAAATAGATACAAAAACTCTTTTTATGAAGGAAGAGGAACAGTGAATATTAAGTAACATCAAGAAAAAAAACAAAGAAGAAAAATTGTATAAACAAAAAAGATGATAAAATGGAAATGGAAACAGAAGAATTTAAAGAATCACGAGATTCATTTTCTTTTTTTCTATTTTCTTTTTTTATTTGTTTGAATTTACATCCAAATTAGTTAGCATATTGTGCAATAATGATTTCAGTAGAATCCAGTGGTTCATCCCCTACATATAACACCCAGGGCTCATCCCTACAAGTGTCTCCTTAATGCCCTTTGCCCATTTAATCCATTTCCCCTCCAGCAACCCTCAGTTTGTTCTCTATACTTAGGAGTCTCTTAAGGTTTGTCCCCCTCCCTCTTATTATATTATTTTTGCTTCCTTTCCTTTATGTTCATCTGTTTTGTATCTTAAATTCCACCAATGAGTGAAGTTCTATGACATTTGTCTTTCTCTGACTGACTGATTTCACTTAGCATAATATACTCTAGTTCCATCCATGTTGTTGCAAATGGCAAGATTCCGTTCTTTTTGATTGCTGAGTAATACTCCATTGTGTTTGTTTGTGTGTGTGTGTGTGTGTGTGTGTGTGTGTACCACATCTTTATCCGTTCACCTGTCAATGGACATTTGGGCTCTTTCCATATTTTGGCTAACTTTGGCTATTGTCAATAGTGCTGCTATAAACACTGGGGACATGTGCTCCTTCAAAACAGCATAACTGCATCCTTTGGATAAATACCTAGTAGTGCAATTGCTGGGTCATAGGGTAGTTCTATTTTTAATTTTTTGAGGAACCTCCATACTGTTTTCCAGAGTGACTGCACCAGTTTGCATTCCTACCAGCAGTGCAAAGGGTTCCTCTTTCTCTGCATCCTTGCCAACATCTGTCCTTGCCTGAGTTAATTTTAGACATTCTGAATGGGGTGAGGTGGTAACAAGATTCATTTTCATAGAATGTGGTGAATTCTATGGAAATCAATTTAAAAGCCTGTATGAAATAGATAACTATCTAGAAAAGGCCATTTACCAAAACTGACAAAGGAAATGGAAAATCTAAAGTAAACTAATTTCATTTAAAAAAGAGAGAAATTGGGGCACCTGGGTGGCTCAGTCAGTTGAGCGTCCAACTGCAGCTCAGGTCATGATTGCCTGGTTTGCAAGTTCAAGCCCCATGTGGGCTCTCTACTGACCACTCAGAGCCTGGAACCTGCTTTAGATTCTGTCTCCCTCTCTCTCTGCCCTTCCCCCTGCTCATGCTCTGTCTTGCTCGCTCTTAAAAATAACATAAAAAATAAAATAAAAATTAAGAAATAAAATAAAATATGCAAAACACAAATTTCCACATGGCAAAGGCAAAATACAAGGGGGAAAAAGGTAAAAAAGAAAAACACACAACATATTTACACACATATCCCAATCGCTAATATTGCTAAATTAAAAGGAGCCTCTACAACTTGACATGTGAAAGACCAACAACTGAAGTTTAAAAGGCTATGAACAGTTCGCAGAGGAGAGAGTCAAAATGGCTCCTGGACATATGAAGTTACTAAACCTCAATGCTAGGGCTCCTGGGTGGCTTAGTTGGTTGTGTCCAACTTCAGCTCAGGTCATGATCTCACAGTTGGTGAGTTGGAGCCACACATCGGGCTCTCAGCTTAGAGCTGAAGCCTGCTTTAGATTCTGTCTCCCTCCCTCTCTGCCCCTCCCCCACCCACGCTCTGTCTCTGTCTCTCTCTCTCTCTCTAAAATAAACATTAAAAAAATTCATTAAAAAATGCTAAATAAAACAACGAGATGATATTTTTCACTTGTACTGGCAAAGATCAAAAAGTGAGATAGCTCACTGGGCTGGGAAGGGGAGGGAAAAGGCATTCTCATGCATTGCTGCTGGGAGGCCACATTCATTCAACCACCATGGAGGACTATTTAACAATAGCATAATTACAACAGTCCTTATCCTCCAACTCAGCAACTTCACTTCCAGAAATATATACTACAGATAGATATATTACTGGCATCTCTGATGTGGTACTTATACAAAGGTACTTATAGTCACACAAAACTTAGCAAACATTTGCAAACAACCAAAATGGACATTAACAGGGAAATCATTAAACAAATTTTGATAGATGCATACAATAAAATCAGAAAGAACAATAATGTACTAAGATGGAATGAGCTCCAAGATATAATGGTAAGAAAGGAAAGGAAGGTAAGAAGGGAGGGAGGGAGGGAGGGAGGAAGGAAGAAAGAAAAAAGTGGCATAAAACAGTGGTATAAAGTCAGGGTTCAATATTTGGGAATGGACGCACATATTTGTTTATATACACAGGCACACAAACTGTCTCTGGTGGATACATAAGAAACTGATTTGTTTCTCAGCTGGGGACAATGGTGGAAAAGAGATTTTCCTTTCCCTATACAACCAAAAAATGCCTTTTCAACTTTTTATAAATCTATTTTTGAGTCTATAGGTTGGATTTGGTCTGTAGATTGCTAGTTTGAAATATCTTCATAATCGTTAAGCTGAAAGTGATCATTTTTTGTCATAAAATTACTTTGTCTAAATTTATCTAAATGCATTATAATAGTGGGATCAAGCAATTGGACTTTATCCCAAAATGACAATTATTACAATATAAGTACCATAACTCCTATGCCCCAAATTCCAAGTTTACTATAAAAATAAAGTATTTCACTATGCCTGAGATCGGATTACTCTATTACAGACTATATCATACAGGGCTTTGCTTGACAACCTTTCTATCTCTGACATGATAACTCTATAGTAAAGGTTGATTCATTTAGACTGAAAAAAAATTAATCTGTCTTGTTAGAAATTCAAGGAAGAAAAAAAGGAAAAAGAATAGGAGTCTGTTTTGCTCTGTTCATTTCTCAAGAGAAACATAAGCTACATTTGCTCATATTTGGGGATAAGTTTAAAAACATAAAGGCTAATAAACAGAAAGTAATCATATAAAAAGAGAAATAAACTCACCATATCTGACAGTACAATCTCAGAAGAGAATTTTTCTTTTTTTATCAGAAGGGTTAAGAAACAAAATCACCCTGAGTTAACTCCAAAGTACTCTATAGATTCAAATCTCTTTTGTCAGTCCCTGAATAGTCTGAATTTCTCAGATTTGAAGACTTTTTGAACTTTTTGTAATGTTTATATTGTCAGCCCATAATTTCTTGCACACATCTGGCTCCCAATGAAATCTGTAATGGATTCTGACCAAACTGATACTTCCTATTTTGAGTAATATTTAGTGCCGGGTCTAAAGAACCTACTGCAAATGATATCTACACATTGATCGCATTCAAGTTTTTCTTCCCAAAAGACCAGTTCAGCCTCTCACCATATAAACTGAAATTACCCACAGTCTTTATTGGACTGTTTATCCATGCACTCAGGGCTATTATTTCATATAAAAGGTTTTTGGTGAAACAAGAAGCATGTTCTCTTGAACCTTGCCCTTTAATTAGTGTAAGCTCCTTGGGGACTGATGCTCTGGCTTCATAGCAGGTAATAGAATGGGTCTAGAAAACAGTGCTAAAATTAAACATTCCTTCCAAATGTTTCAGGCAATCCTAAACCGTGAAATGCCTGCCAGCCCCCTGAGAAGATCAATAGAGCAACCACTGGACATCTAAAGCAGAACCGCCCACTGCAAAGTCCACTTAATGAAAATCCACAATGGGCGATAGGTCTGCAATATAAGCACATTCTTACAGAATAGATTCCCTTTGTCTGTGCTTCTTCTGATTCCAGTGGATGGTCCAATGAGCAATTAGGCCTGCAAAAAATAACACCTACCAGACCCAAACTGATCAGATGGCCTCACATAAACAAGATTAGATTATTTTTAACTTCCTACCTTTAGGAATCACTAGAGTACTGATATTAAACACAAGTATTCTGGGGTCATCTTGAGCAATAAGGCTTTTTCATTAAGAAATTCAACTCCAAGGGGCGCCTGGGTGGCGCAGTCGGTTAAGCGTCCGACTTCAGCCAGGTCACGATCTCGCGGTCCGGGAGTTCGAGCCCCGCGTCAGGCTCTGGGCTGATGGCTCGGAGCCTGGAGCCTGTTTCCGATTCTGTGTCTCCCTCTCTCTCTGCCCCTCCCCCGTTCATGCTCTGTCTCTCTCTGTCCCAAAAATAAAAAATAAAAACGTTGAAAAAAAAAATTAAAAAAAAAAAAAAAAAAAGAAATTCAACTCCAATCAGCAAACATTTAGATTGGCTACTGTAGAAAAAGCACTTTGTCTTTTATCAACCAGCAAATCGATCCATGTCTTTTGGTTTGCTTCATTAAATTTAACGCACATGTATCATACATTATTTTTAAGAGGGAAGACATGCTCAAGTGTCACCGGCTCTTCCTAATAAATCCATCAATACAGTGGGGTATGCTGTTTGTACTTTGCAATTCTATACTACATTAGAATCTCTCTTTCAACAGCAAGTTATTTATCTTCCTAACAATCTATCAAAATAAATATCTCCTAAGGTACAGTATTATTAAATATTTTTCACAACTGAAATTCCCCAACCCCCTTAGGCAGAATTAATAGCTTTTGTTCATACATATATCATGATGCTTCTCACATTTTTAACGGGTGCTGTTGTTGATGGATCTTTTATTACTACCAGATTGGGACCCCCCCCTGCAGGTGGACAACAGGTCTTATTCATCTCTGAATAAGTCCCAATAACTTGCACACAGCCTCCCACAGTATGATGAATAAATAATGAAATCTTAGAGCCAGAGTTTTTCAGTCCTGCTGGCTAATCCCCATAGCAATGCCGGGATGGTGGGTGGCAGGGCAGAGAGGGTGCAGGGTGTTGAAGCACTCTAAGACTATTTCCCCTGAGTTCTTCTCAACTCCATAGCCCTCATTCGCCTTCTCTCTTCAATTCCGTTGCTATTATGACTACTAGATTCACAAGATAAGTCTCTTCTGAATGTGTCAGTTGCTGCACAGAATGGCAATTTAGACCCATAACAGTTCAATGTAGGAACAGGCAGCCTATGGCACTGAAATGACAACACAGCGCCAAAAGTCCCTGGTGGTGACACATTGTCACACTGCCCACTGCATAGCCCTCTTTCCTGTCTCTCCCTCAAAGTCTCTCTCTCTCTCTCACTCTGTTTCTTCTCTGCTGCTCTCTTCCCTTCCCCGCTCCATTATTCCTATTTCCCTGCTTGTGCCCAGGATAGCCTATGGGCTAAAAATATCGCTGGGTACAGATGGAAAATGGCCAGCAGAGTGTTACCATTCATCTTTCATGTGCCCAGGACAACACTCATTAGTTGATTCTTAAGACTCTTCCCTGCAATCTCAAAATTCTGATACAGGGCTTGAGACAGCCATCAGCAGTTAATATGAGTCTGTTAATGTCTAGGGAATTTTCACCTTTATGACAGTAGAAAGTATTAATTTCTATAAACCTTAGTACTGACCTGACAAAAAAATATATATTCCTCTTCTTTAACCCCCACACCCAACCCCATATTGATTGACTGGTAGTGGTTCTTCCAGAGCACTGGGTTTAAAATGATCAAGAAGTGGGCCCAAGAAGAAAAGGTATTATAAAGCATCAGCCACATCTTGCTAAGTGATCAAGAATCAAGAGCAATGACATACATACTAGTTACTTGCCCCATTTGCCTAACTCTCTCATCTGGTAAATTACT